ACATATGTCTTACGGGTATAGTGTGAGCAGTCTGGCACCGTATGATTGATCAACTCAGGTGGCATATCGATGGTTCTCTGTTCGTACAGGTAACACATCCTTTCCTTCTCGCAGTAGTCAAAGGATCTGTAAGTAAACAAATGGATAAGCAGATAAATCAATGTGTGAATAGATAGATGGATAGAATAAACACGCTCTCTCTCTAAGTGCTGTGTAGTGCATTGGTAGCGGTCTTGTTTGGGAGTTTTGCTGACCCACATTCAAATCCCGCACTGCTAGTGGAAGGTAACCCCACCCATTCCTTGGACACAGGGGGTACTTTAGAAGCAAAATAAACAGACAGCCTGTCACACCAAAAATAACCATTGTAACAAATGAAATATAGTTAAACAATAAATGTTTCCTGCTAACCCTAATAATAATATCAATATGTCAACATTATCAAATCGTGATAAATTACAAATAAAATCATTGATATCAACAATAACAAACAAATCAACAACAAATATCTTAGAAAAAATATGTTATATAATGAAAATACTAAAAATCCAAAGAATGGCAATATAAAAACTGATATAAAACTTTGTTAAAATTCTCACCTGCAAGTGATGGAGGTAACATTCGAACAATGGTAGGCGCACTTGTCCGCATCCGTGCTTTTGATTACGAGATCGGCATCTCCCGTGTACACCATCCCATCAACCTTCACATAATCATCTGTGTGGCTTCCTGGGATTCGGATAAGTGCAATTCTTGTTTTTGAATTGATATGAAGGATAGATCAGGCTTTCTTATTTAAGATAAGGAATCTAATGTTCAAAATTAAAAGAGCTAAACAATTCTGAAATTGTAAATATGGAATTTATGTTCATAGGACAGTAGCCTTTGGTTGTCTGATTGGTCTGTGTGTATATACTGTATGTGTTCAAACATATAAGATTAATAATCAATAATAAACTCTCACTAATAGTCTTAGAAAACACACACACACACACACACACACACACCACACACACCACACACACACCACACACGCACACACGCACACACGCACACACGCACACACACACACACACACACACACACACACACACACCACACACACACACACACACACACACACACACACACACACACACACACACACACACACACCACTGAACAGCCCCCCCTACACACACACAACCCCCTCATCTCCCAATCACCCTTCCATCCCCCAACCAAACCCCACCCTCCACTTATTACCCCTCCACCCCTAACCTACTCTTCCCCCTCCCCTCCCACCTCCACAACACGTAAGTCCGACCACCACACAGTCCATTTTGCATACTATTTCTGCCTCCTGCACCTCTAACTCCCTCCCCGCTCTCAAGACTCCTTCCTCCTCCTCCAAACCCCCAACCCCTCCCCTCCCCTCACCCCATACCCTTCTCCTCCACCCTACCTCCTCCTCTCCTCCCCCAACCACCCTCCTTCCACCCCTCAAACCATTTTCAACGTTCACATCCAACATCTTGTATACGACATTGACCTCTTGCATTCCACAACCACTCTCACCCCTCACTCCAACCACATCTCCCTACCCACTCCTCTTCCCATCCCATCCCTCCTCCTCCAGCCACGACACTTACGTCCGACAACCACGCAGTCCGTCTTGCGTATGACATCGGCCTCCTGCACCGGCGTGTCGACCACGTAGGAAGTAAGGTAGCAGGTATTTGCACCATAGCAGTAGGAGAGTGTCTCACATCGGAAGCCCATTTGCTTCTCGCAGGCGGCGATGCACAGGGCGTAGCTGACCTGTTTGGAGGGAGGGGAGATGGAGAAGGAAAGGGAAGAGAAGGAAGGGAAATGGAAAAAGAGATGGAGAGAGAGGGCACGGTAGGGGAGAGGGAGAGGAGAGGGAAAATATAAAGAAGTATTGGGGAGAGAAGAGGGAAAGGAAGAGAGAGAGAATTATATAGAAAGACATGGAATATATATACAGTAAAACAAATAACAAGAATTAATTAACTTATTTCTACTTAGAATATATATGTATAAATGCATATATATATATATATATTATATATATATATATATATATATATATATATATATATATATATATATATATATATATATATATATATATATATATATATGTATATATATATATATATATATATATATATATATATATATATATATATATATATATATATATATATATAAATATCAGTGTAGTCATGTATCTCATTTTCCCAAATATTTAAACCTTCCATCCTTTATTCATAAATTTGCTCATTGACTCCTTACTTCCCTCCCATTCCCATCTCCCTACCCTCCCCTCCCATTCCCCCAAAAAACACTTACCTTTGGCAACTTAAGCTCCGTATACTTGCCCTTCAGATAACCCTGTTTGTAGGCCACGTGGAAGTCATCCCTGACCAAGTCCACCAAGATGGGGTCGTCGCCGAGGAGTTCCTCTTCGGTGCCAATCGCGCTGAACTTGCCTTCGTGTTCCTGGTGGATAGGAAGGAGGAGGGAGGAGGGAGGAGAAGAGAAGAGGGGGAGAAGAGGAGGAGGAGATGGAAGAGAGAGAGAGAGAGGTGTTAGATAGCAGTAGTGGTTGGTTGTGGAGAGGGGGGGGGAGGAGGTGGGTGTGTGTGTGTGTGTGTGTGTGTGTGTGTGTGTGTGTGTGTGTGTGTGTGTGTGTGTGTGTGTGTGTGTGTGTGTGTGTGTGTGTGTGTGTGTGTGTGTGTGTGTGTGTAAATAAATTCATATAATTTTTGCTATAGAGGAGGGTGAATTATTTGCTTTAAATGAATTATTTGTTTTAAGAGAACTTTAGAGAGTTCAAGAATGTAACCATAAACAAACATATGCATACACACATATCCACACACACACACGTGCACATGAGCGAGCACATCACCTCCCACACACAATAAATAAAACCGCAGCCTCACACACGACCCCGTCTCCCCTCACACGCACAAAAACAACCTCCCCCCCTCACACACACACACATCCTTCCTGTATTCGACCACCCTGCACTCACAATGCCATCATGGTCAGTATAATAGAGCATGATGTGCATATTTCCTTCAGCCACATTCGTCATAATCCAGTCCACAATCTCCCAGTTGGGTTTCTGGAACTTGGTGTTCTTGATCTCCGCTCGCTTGTAGTGCTTGCAGGCCTTGTTGACCGGGAAGTCGCTGCCGCCAGAGTTTACATAGTTGCTGACAAAGCAGTTCTTGCCGAGGCCGGAGCACTGGTAGAAGGACCTGTTGGGGAGAAGGGGAGGAGAGTGGGTTTAAAAGGGGTGCGGTGATTTTTTCTTTCTTTCTTTCTCCTCTCTCTCTCTCTCTCTCTCTCTCTCTCTCTCTCTCTCTCTCTCGTCTCTCTCTCTCTCTCTCTCTTCTCTCTCTCCTTCTCGTCTTCTCCCCTCTCTATTCTCTCTTACCTGCCATTGTAAGTGCAAGAAAAACTGTTATTGCACTTACTTGCACTGGAATTTGGAATAACGCAGGCAGTCGCTGGCACACAGGTCGTCATCCCCTATCGCCGTGGCCAGCTGTTGGTGGCATCCCCTACTGGGGTGGCCAGCTGTCTTGGGTAGGAGTAATAAAAGTGCGACGGGCCCTAGTTGAAAGGTCCGCAGTTTGTCCTATTTTGCATTTAGACAAGATAGTTTGATTTTGTTTGACTTATAAGTCCAAACTTATGGCTAACCACAGGAACTTTGGCGGAAACGCAACTAATGCTAAATAAATTGCAAGGATAAGGTGAATAAGCAATTTATTATTTAACAATGTTTCATGGCAACTTTTCTGCCCACTATTAGGCTGATACACTCAAGGACTAAGCTTCTACACTTTACTACTTTTGGGAATTTAACTTGCTCTACTACTACTGCCCTGGAATCAGCTGGGTGAATAACTTACAAAACATCTAACTCGCGAGGCTACTCCTGCACTTCATACCTTCTATCTACCTCTCACTATCGCACGCTGATTCCGATCGTTAACTAAAAACTACTAATCTACAATATAATAACAATTAACTACAACAGCAATATACAATTGATAATTATTTTAAGACAAATGAGAATCAAATGGAAGGCGATTTGTCCCTTTGAAGAAAAAAAAAGAGATTGGTGTATTGCTTCGTTTGCATTTCTCACTGGAATACGTCATCCAGTTTGGATATAGTAAATGAAGAGACCAAGACTATAATAAGTATCAATAGTAAAGAATGATAGTGAGCTCCACCTTACTAACTATACTAACTACTCATTACTAACTCACACACCTTCTACAACAACAACAACAACAACTACTACTGACTACTACTAAGCTACAACACTTACTACTACTACTAGCTACTACTACCGACTAACTACTACTACTAAAAATAAATAATAATGATAATAACAATAATGATAATGACAGAAGCAACAGAAGCAAGCAACAACTAAAAAAGAACGTGACACTAAATACGATAATTAGATTAATAACAAGAATCATAACAGTCATAGCAAGAAATAACCATAATAACGATTATGACCATATGCAAAAACATTACAAATCAAAATATTAACCATAACAACATTCATAACAACCACAGTAATAACAAGAAAATTTTAAATTACAGCAACAACAATCATATAAAGTAATAACATCCAAATACAATAATCACAACAATAGCAACAAATAACAAAATCTTATATCACTAACCATAAATACAAACAAGCAAAGCAGCAACGAGACCACCGAACGAACAATAACACACACTCAACCACCTAGTTGCTCAATCCAACACTAATCACACACACACACACAGCCTTACATCATTATACAACAAAACAACAATTGACTATTAATTAAACAAATTAAATAGTTATAATTAAATAGAACCCGTAAACAAAAAAGAGTAATCACAAAAGTTAGCACTTACTCTATTTATATTCACATTTCATCTATAGTGTGCGTAGTGTGTGTGTGTTTAAAGATATACAACAACAACTATTAAAAATTAAATTAGGGATTAAAAAAAAACTAACTTATTAGACGTCCTATGTGTATTATTCTAGAGTGCATTGCTGAGTGTTGGTATTTTTCTGTCACTCTAAGTATATATTTTATGAACATGCAAGTGTTGAGTAATTGATATTAGTCAGCAGGCTTATTCACAGGATGCAACACAGTTAAGGCTTAAAACACACAATATATTACTTTGGTCGTGGTCGCAAAGTATCACTGTTATTTTATGAGGAAAGGAAGAGAGAAGGAGAATAGATAATGACGCAGTACGGAAATTTAAGGAAAATTCGATAATTCGGGAATATACACATCAGCATGAGAGAAAGAGAAGGAAAGAAAGCGGAGGGAGCGGAGGGAGGGAGGCGGAGGTACCGCTTCGAAGGGAGAGTCAAAGCAAGGGGATTGGGAGAACGCGGGAGGGAGCAGCAGGGTACGGAAGAGAGAGACCGAGGGGAGTCCCAGTGGAGGGAGAGAGAGTAAGAGAGCGCACGAGACGGAGAGAGAGAGAGAGAGGAGTGACAAGGGACGCAGAGAGAGAGATGACGAGAGAGAGAGAGAGAGAGAGAGAGAGGGAGAGGGAGAGAGAGAGGGAGAGGGAGAGGGAGAGGGAGAGAGGAGAGAGAGAGAGAGAGAAGAGAGAGAGAGAGAGAGTTGGAGCGAGAGAGTGGAGACGAATGAGAGGAGAAAGAGAGAGAGGGAGACGCGAGGCGATTAGAGAGAGAGAGAGAGAGAGAGAGAGAGATGCACAGGAGAAGAGTTAGAAGACAGAGAGAGAAGGAAGAGGTACAGAGAGATGTTCACTCAGGAGACACGCAAGAGGACAATGGGGAGAGAAAACTAGAACCACGTGAGGACAGAGACAGACAGGGGATGACAAAAGAGGTAGAGAGAGAGAGATAGAGAGAGAGAGAGAGAGAGAGAGAGGAGAAATGAGGCTTTGAGGCCGGGCAAACTCGCTTATGCAGGCGCTACGAGTAGAGGAGTGAGAGAGAGACGATTGCAGTCAGTGGGTGGTGTTCATGGAACTTGAGGCAATAGATTTACCGAGAGTCGGATGAGCATTGTGGGGGGCCTATCTAAAAAGGAAAATAGCAATATAATACTTTCCTTTTCACACGTAACAATAGGCCTCAAAACATCATGTCCCTAGTTGAGTCAGAGTCGGCTCGTGTTGTTGTGTAATATTTTTATTAAAAAAAGTTGGGAAGGGCGGTTAGGAAGTTAAAAGGGCAGAAGGAATAAAATATATGGGGATAGAGGATGACTGAACGTTGTTAGGGGTGGAGGTCGCGAGTAACTATGGAGGTGGATTGATAAAAATTTGTGTGTCAGTGGAGATGGGGATGCGGCGAGAGTATTATGCGGAGATTTAGGAAATAAAGGGTATAGGGAAATGGGGCATGAGAGATGTTAAGAATGCGATAAAAAAATATTATAAGGTTTTTGTATATTTTTTTACTTATCCTTACATTGTTTTAAATTGTTAACAAAACTCCTTTGTGGTGTGGTTTCTTTGATTTTAGAGTATGAACGGAGGAGGGAATTAAATTGTTTAGAAATTTACCAGGGATGATCGGGAGGCAGCAAAAGTTTCAAAAGTAAGCGAGTAGAGAGATAAGACAACAGAGAGAAAGAGACGAGACAGACCAGACACTTAGAAACGGGAGAGCATCGAAGAGCCACAGACATAAATAGAAACAGAAACAAGCATAACTGCAGGAAAATGAATTCTATTTGATTTTAAAAACCTTGCACTTTCCGGTAACCTAACAAGGAAGACATGTTTCTTTGTGCCTGCCTTGGATCTGCTCGTTAGTAACACACTTTTCTTAAACTCGTCACGGTTTCCTGTGAAAGCTCCATGTTCCCCAATTCCTGGAAAAAATTTTGACATCTATCTTAGTTTTTCAGAAAAGTTTCTATCTTGAAGTAAATGGTAAAATTTAATAATTTAAATAGTTGCACGGAGGGCATTTTTCAGGCGCCGGGAACGAAATTTACCCCACTTACGGACAGCGACACTTTCAGCTCTGTACGTGGATTTCGTTATAGAATGCTCAAAATCTTCGAAGAGAGAAGATGTATATTACCGCACTCATCCCTTCAGGGAGAGCTCTTCGCCTTACAGGTATAATGGAGAGATGAGAGAAGAGAGGAGAGCAGAGAGAGAGAGAGAGAGAGAGAGAACGAGAGGAGAAGAGGACGAGAGAGAGAGAGAGAGAGAGACGAGAAGAGAGAGAGGAGAGAGACAGTGTAAGAACAGAGACAAGAGAAGAGGAGAGAGAGAGAGAGAGAGAGAGAGGGAGGAAATTTTAGCAGCAGAGAGTCGGGTAGCAGCAGAGAGAGAGAGACTGAGAGCACGCAGAGATCGCAGAGGAGAAGATGCACCTCAGCACAGCACAGAGTGGATGAGAGATAGACTTACAATTGAACACGTATTCACCCATTTCTGGGATCATGAACGAGAGGA